ACTTAATTGCCTTCAAGTCTGTCATAGAGTACAGGCCACAAAGAAAACAGGGCTCTTTGCAGTTATTGAGGCTGATGGATTTAAATGCAAAAGAGCCATTACACTTCACTAGCACTGAGAATGACCTGGTCCTGGGAGTGCTGTCTGCCTCGTGAAAAGTCTGTTAAAAGGGTTAGTGTCTACAAAAGTGTGGCTCATAATTTAGATTCTAGATAACCAAGTTTTTACAACATCTAAAAGTACATAATATTAATATAAATGGTTTTATAATTTTTATTTCTAAGTCAAAAAATTGTTTCGAGCAAATAAAAAGCACTGAGAACCTGAAAAAGGTGACATTGACTTGATTTTCAATGTCCAAGCTAGAAGAAGTGCAAAAAGCAAACAAATGCCATTGTGAAAAATAAGATGGATTTTACAAAACATATTAATTTAAAATAATTTAAGCATCACTAACAAAAGAAATGTGTTTTTTGCTATACATGCAGTTTCAAATTGACAGTGTCTCTTACATGGTCCAGTCTCCCACAGAACTATAGCAGCAAAGGGCTGTAAGTCCTTTAATGTAACACGACACATGCTGGACTTTAAGGAATACATTTTTTAAAAACAGGCACCTGCAAAATAAGCATGCACATGTGTAAACTGCTAATTGACAATGCTCGTATACATCTGCACATGCCTACACAATTTACAGGTGCAATTCAACAGACAATGTCTGAAAATTCTACTTGCACCAATAATTGATAGTTTATAGGACACTCAACACTAGTAACTATTCCTAGTAAAGACTGGTTTCTAAGATAACTTTTTGCCTTCCCCATTTCTATATTCTAAATCTAGTAGATACAATGCAGAACCAAGGGAGAGAAAGAACATACAATATAGGGCCAGTAACATTTCCTAACAGGCCAAACTATTCTGCCCTCAGTAGTCTGTTAAAGGCCATTTATGATAAACAGGAGCCTTCAAATCCTTTTCCTCACAAACCTGGGAAGAGGAGTCTGAGCTTTGCTACTGCCTAAATTGAATTCCTTTTGATGACATTTAGTTTTATATTTTTAACACACATCTTTTTTCATTTCTACTACTATCTTTGTTTTAAATCTGATGACAGACACACATTGTTGGTAACTGCCCCAGCCTTAGGACCACACAGACAATATCAACAAGCAGAAAACAAAACAGGAAAAAAATTACCCCTGAAAAAGTCAGGGACAATACCGATGACAGGGTTACATCACTCACCACACCCACTGGAAAGTCAGGATTCTTGTGTTTATGCTTTTGACACTAAAAAGTTTCAAAACAGTTTTTCTTTTCTTTCTTTCTTTTATTTTTTTTTTTAAATAGTCAGCGGACACAGCCATTTTGTTCAGAAAGATTTGCCGTAGCGTAGGGCTTCTTCTGCTTAGGTGGAAAAAACAATGAAAAACATTGTTTTAAAAAACAACACTTGGATTTCCTAAGACATTGACAAGAGCAAGTGATTGGCAGAGGAGAGCTTATCTTGTCAGTTGTGGCAGTCCAAGCATGCCCTATGTCTGACCCTTTCAACCCACTGGCTTCACTGGGGCAGTGTTATTTATCTGCAACCTTCAGTTTCCCATCTCTTTTGCTTTCTGGTTCAGTGCAGATGCTCAGCTGAGTAGGGGTTTCTTTTAACCCCAGACACCTTGATTGTACTGTTTTCCTTTTTATTTTATCGAAGTCATTGCGGAATAGGTACCTTGTGGAATGGAACTTCTGCTTTATATCAGAATCAGCATATATTCACCACCCTTTGTAAAGAACCCTTTCTGGCAATGATTGACGATGGGGTATGGGAGTGGGGACCCTGCTTCATTAACCCATTAGCAGAAACAAAAAATTTGCAACACAGTAAACATTAGCAGCAGCTATGGGTGGGAGCACTACAGGCAAGTAAAAATATACCACTGGGTTCAGAAAGCAGGGTGGATATGGGTGTGTGCGCGTGTATGTGGGTAGACGTTTGTGTGTTGGCAGGTGAGATTTATAACATTAGCACTCCCTTGTGCATAATACTTAGAGAGACACCAAGTACCAAAAAATGTTTTAGAGCAGACATTAGTCCAGTAGTACAACTGGAAACGTGCACTTCTGCATCACACGACCATCACTCACCACCCTCCTGGGCTTGGCTGAAGCTTGGTTCTTCCAAAGAGGGTTTGGCATTTTATAGATGGAGATCTTGCCAATGTAAGAGACAATACCAGAAACTTAGAGTTTTACCTGGGATGGGCTTCAGTCAGCTCTTCCTCTAATCAGAAATAGTGTCACTATGCTCAGGATATTTCCAGTGCTGTCATGTCCTTTTTCACCAGTGTTTTTAGAAGAGGTTTGGTGCAGAGGAAAAGAAGAAACTGGATTCTTGGGGATCGTGAACAGGTGGAGTGAGTGTCAGGGTGTACACTAGGCACAAAATTCAGGGCGCTCCACTTACATCTAAACCCTAAAGTAATATTAACTATGGGGAGCTCTTTCTGTCTATGAATCTTTCAGCAGCTTTACAAATGAACACTTTGATATCTGGAAAAAAAAGAACTTAAAAGCAGGCAAAGCCTTTATAACACAGCAAACTGAACTCTGTTAATGTGGCAAGACTAAGCAAAATCCTGCAGGACCCCTCTTCACACATTCTGTGTTATTCTTGGAAACTAGATTCTAGGGCAGGGAAACACCAAGGGCAGATGAATTTGCCAGGACTACTATGGCATTGTACTGGAGCTGTGTTTACTGGACACTGTGGCTTGATCTCCCTGGAAGCAGAACAGGGAGGTATCAAGTTAAAAGAGCTACCAAATACCACACACACATGCACCCATTCTGCTAGGCACATGATATGCTACCTTATGATGGGCTGCATATCAGCTAAGTCCAAGAGTTACCCTAAGGCCAGTGGTGTGACACTCCATAAAAGAAAAAAAAAAGTTAAGATAGGTCATATTCAGCCTTAAATCCTGGTCAGTCACCTTTCCTTAAATCAGACCATTCCCATGGATATTCAACATGATAGGACCTCTATCCAAGCAGGATCATAGAGATTACCTGCAATGGTTTCCCAGAGATCAAGTCAGATCAGAGCTGTTCCCAAACCAGAACTTGTTCTCTCCCTGAAAGCACTTTCCTGGGGAATCAACGTTTAAGGTAGTAGAAGTAGGTGCACATGAAGATGACAATAGGTAATTGGAGAAATTGTAGACAGGCACAACAATCCGGCTGGAGAGAACAGCAACTGGGCGGCTCAAAGATGAAGACCTAATGGGCAGTGTGCAAATTAGCTCTCCTTCACAAATCTCTTCAGAGAACATGGTGGGAGCACCACTGAGTGTAAACAGTGGGACTTAACTGTTTTTCAATACATAGGCATTGCACCCACTTTCAGAAGCACAGCCACATGGTAGCAGCTAAGTTAAAGGTTCCAGAAATCCTAGCACTGAAAATTGGAGCTTTCTTGTGATTTACGGGCCATGCAATAAACATGGAATTGCTGTAATAGCCACAAATGACCACCACTCATTCCTGTCCCTTCCCCCTATCCTATAGTCAAAGTGCTATCAAGAAGCATCTCAGTAAGAGGTTTATGAGCAGGAGTCATTTGAAGCATCGATAAGAGAAATTCCACAGCTTCTCACAGAGAAGGGATTGTTTTACAGCAGGGAACATGGGCAGCTGGAGATTTGACCATATAAGTTAATGGGACAGTCAGGGAGTGGTGGTGGTGGGATGATGTTAGGCTGATGGCTATGATGGTTTTACAGGCAGCATTAAATTCCTACAGTGAGTAATTAGGGGCAATGAAGAAAAAAAGCAAGAGAAAGATTTCAAAACTACGGCTCGTATCAAAACGTGCTGACTCAAACAATAGGGCCAAAGGGCTGGTTCTGGTATGAGGCATGGCTCAGTGGTATATACAGTCACTGTCTATATGCCTTCCGGTACATAGTATGTCACCCTTGCAAACACTCAGGTTCCCACTCTTTTCCTGTTCGATGATGAAAAGGCTCAGACAGAAGCAATAACTGCAGTGAGAACTAAAGCTATAATTCTTGATTTGCAAAGCAAGGACAGGAAGCTATGAACTTCCCATTAGGAAACTGAGAAGCAGACCTTTTTTTTTCTAAACCAATTAACACCAAGGTTGTTGACATAGTTCCCCCTTCTAAAGGATGCCTCAGATTAAAATGTTCCCCTGTATATGCCAATGAGAGAATACTGAATTCCCTGATGTGGTTTGCTGCTGGCAATGGATGACCTACTGGATCCTTTCACAAACTTGCAAAGGATTTATTCTGAACTGCTCATTACATTTTAAGGAATGCAAGTGAGATGCCTTTCTTGCCTGGACTTTTAGTGCAATTTTCAGATAAGCAAAGGGTGAATGTTGACTCACTCAAATGTTTGCCAGTTGCAGAGGGATCAGTCCCCCCAAAAGATGGAACAATGGGTAGAAGAAAGGCGGAGGAGCTGTGCTGCAGCTGTGAAAGACAAGGAAATAGAGAGTAAATCTAAAGGCACTGTAGGATTTGGGCAGCATAAGTGGCAGTGATATAAGCTCAGTTTTGGGCTACAGGAGTTGCAATGTGGGTTCTGAATGGGGAGAGCCTGCTCCAAAAGCTTGGATTTTGATACTTAACATCTGATATTTCTAGGTTCTGAAAGATCAGTTGGTGCTAGAGCAGCTTGCTGCATCAGTAGGAAGGGCATTCACCACTGAAACAATCCTGATGGGAAAGCAGTTGAAGAGCCCGCAATCTCCACACTATTGCATTAATGTCTAATGTACCCTTTTCTCTTAATGTAACAAAAGAGAAAAAGTCTATTTTCTTAACATTTAGTGTTAGAGAGCCAAAAGTCCAACAGAGAATAATTCCTTTAGTGATCTTGTAGGGGGATACCAAAGAATTCAGTCTTGTGGGTGTCAACAGAAGCACACTGAAGACACAAAAAGCACCCAGAGCA